TCATAAGATTCCAATCATAATCACAATGTAAGGAAAATTCTTCCAAAATCGGATCAAACACCCGGGCGCCTTTCTATGTTTATATGTCCACTTTTATTATTTAGATTCTCCCAGATCATTCAGAAAAAAATAGAGTTATCGTATTATAACTGTATATAATAATAAAGGGAAATGTCAGATTGTACTCTTAGAAATTCTTTACCAAGCTGTAATCTATCACTAGAGGTGATGATGACGTCAAAGGACATTTACCAATGTTTGATGTATCTGTTAATACTTATTACACGTATGTATACAGGTAGAGATAAAAGCACAGAAATTCACCAAAATTCGAAGAAACAAATATTTAAAAAAAAAAATACAAACCTAAACTTCTATTCTATTGAAGTTATCCAAAAGAAATAACTTAATCAAATATACACAAGTATAATTTCAATACCGCTTTAAATTGCATTTGATGGAAAGACAGAATCTTTTAAAAGAAATGCAGAGAATTCTTGAGCAGGTTAGCATAAACTTAGATTTATATTTAAAATAATGAAATACACAGAACGTTAAAACCATTACTGGATTGTAAAGCTGAGATAGTCGTGATAGCTACATTAACGTCAAAACGATAAAACATGCTAAGGTATGTGATATAATCGAAAGTGCAGTTTTCTCGTGTGCAACATAAAATTTTCAAAGAAATAGACATATCACGTGACATTACGTATATCTATTATCATAGGGTAGTTATCAGTTGGTGCTAAGCAGTTTTTACCTTTATATTAAATATGTGTTCAAAATGGGTTTAACGTCCTACTGTTTTGCTCCGACTAAACTAATGAAGACGGGTATACGCCATGCAGTGTGCTATGAGGGCAATTTTGCCCGTACAGTGGCACTACGGCCTACTCTTATATCAAATTCCAACTACTAGGGGATCATTTACGTGCACGCCAATGTGTAAACGGGACATCGGTTTCTTCGTCCCATCCGAACGACTATACGTTGTCCCTTGTCGTGCCATATGTCCTGTACCACTGACAAGACTGATACGAACCTTTGAGATTGCCTGACCGTCACTTGCTAGGAAACATTACAACGTGTTTGTATCAAAATGACCAAAGTATTGTGTTGACTGGATATTAAACCTTATTCTAGCCTATTTATCAATATATATGTTATATACATTCTGTTTTAAATATCGTGCAGAGACTAAAATACATCCAGTTTACAGACGTTGAAATAGATATTATCTGATGGTAAATTAATCGCTCTTTCTACCTAAAATATCTTATTACGTAACGACGAAGAACTATAAAACATTATTTCGCCCACATCCGCATGTAAATTTAAATTAGATTATATTTTCAAAACTACATATCTTGATTCCATCTAACATTTCTTTAAAATTATAAATAGAAGTGTACAAGCACTAACTTTTTTCAGAATATTAAAATTATTAGAGTTTTAATGGACTTCTCAAGCACTTGCAACTAGTATTACACAGATTTCAATGTTCCATTTATTATAACTAAGTCACGGAATCCAATTTACTTAATATAATTTAGTTGGTACATGTGCATAAATATTTCTTCTATAACCTTGTTAAATAGAAAAGTGTAAAAGTGTAAAACTATAAAGTTTACTGGTATATAGATGGTTGAAAGGATAATCAAACCCTAACAAGCAATAGATAATTTTGGGTCATCTATGGCACGCCATTATTCAGAAATGAAGTGAAACAAAATGGAATTTAACATCCTTTTTTTCTGCTCGGGCTAATGAAGACAGACTTCCGTCATGCAGTGTGCTATAAAGGCTTACTCTTCGTCGAATTCCAACTGCCAATGGTTTTTTTACTTGCACACCAATGTGTGTACACAAGACCGTGGTTTGTTGTCTCATCCAAACGACTAGCATTTGTTTCTATCCGCCCTCCGTGCTGCGCCATTGACAAGGAGAAACCACCCTAAAATTCCCGATGACATTTCCAAATAAATTGATCTCCATTATGCATGCTAACACTTTAGATATTGTTTTAGTTCAACTTATGAAATTCAGGCCCAAATCATTTTTCCGGCTAGCTTTATTACTTACAGCTGTCATGTACCAGGCATAATAATATGTCTATACTTTCTAGAACAATTGGTACTTAAATCGTTTGAAGAGTTCACACAGCTGACAAATTTTGCTGCACATTTTGTATGTTAATATAAGTACAATATTGATCTAAACGTTGATCTGAACTTCTGGTTTTAAAATATTAATGCTCTCAGTCTCAATACTAAATACTCGCCACTGAACTTAAATGACTTGAAGCAAGATTAACTGTATAGGTAAGAGTATTAGGAATACGATGATTGACAAGTTTAAGATACAGCTACTAATTAGCTGAACACGTGTATATAGAAAGTGTAGTCTTTCAGATTTATTTTACAGGAACCATTCTATGTTACCATATGGTACTAGAACCAAACACTACACAGAATGCGTAAACTGAGAATAAGGAAGAGTTTCTAAACCGTATGTTCTTCTTAACACCTATACGGTAAATGTAATGGGAAAAGATGAATCCGATGTTAGAATGATTTTTTCACTGTTAGATAGATGTTCGTGATATTTAAACAGTGACTACGTCATTGTATTTTCTTTTTGAATAACTTGCGAACATTTTAGGGACGGGGATAGAATAATGCTGCACTATAATATGTTCTTTGTATTCAAACTGTGGAAAAGCCATTGTTATTGTTATACGTAGCTTTATGAATGAATTGCTAATACCGTTCATTAAATAAACCGACAGCTATAATATTGCTGATAGTTCATTCATGATAGTACCCTTGGGTAGAATGATATGCACATCTGGTATTACTGAACATATTAATTATTCTACACTCCCTCTTAATTAACACGACCCATTAAAGAATGTACGCCACTAATCACGACATAGGATAGCCAATGTTTACAGTCAACATATTATACTAATACTTACCTTGTTATTACTTTATGTATATAATGTAACACTGACGATACATTATGTAATAACTTATTAATACATTAGGGACACGGCTTCCAGAATCAAGACATATATATCTATAAGGACCATTGGAATGTTAAACAAAAATAATCTTTTAGGAGCAATTTTTTAAATAATTATTCAGGTTCAGTGACTGATTAAGATAAAATTTCACTGGCATTATTGTCATAAATTATAAATTAATAAATTACATACAATACAACGTAGCTCTTCCAGATTACAAAATACTGATCATTTCAAACTATTAGATTATTGCTTTTAAAACGACAAGTCTTCCTAGAGAACACTGTTTTCATTTCCAGAAACCTATTAACTAGAGTACAGTTAATAACAGACTTATCACCTTTACCACATAACTAGTTTTCAAGATGATCTTATATTCAGTTTTCATGATGATCTTATAGCCACCAGAAGCGAAAAATGGGCACAGGAATTCCGACTCCTACAATACAAAAACCACAGAAAAATTCTAGATTTATTTAAAGAGAAACTTCCTGCAGCTGGTACCAACTGTTAGGCATAATCAAGATAAAAGACGGGAGGAAAGGTAAACGTGTTCGAGTTTTCTCCTCATAAACCTTTTAACTTGAGTCGTACAAATAAACTAACTTGTATCTTTGATAAAGAATCACATGTAAACAGTTTTAAAAGCAAAACAAAATTTAGGTGCTTGCTAAATAAAGCGATGACGTAATGGATCAAGCTAAGAAAATACAAAATCCTATTCAAATAGACTTATATTTGTGTGAAGATCTAATCAAAGCATGGTAGTCCCAAATGGGGGCTGTATCAAGCGGTCCAGTAAGCCTAAGCATTCACTACCTCATACATACGCTGATAGTCATCAATAAATATAAGAAATCATCATATTTTAATAAGCTATTAAACATTCATTAGCACTTAATTCACCTTTAAAGTGCTTGATCTACTAAAGAAAATCTGATCTGTAACATTTTGACCCTCTTATCAGACAGGAAATCTTATATCTCAAAAATATTCCCACCACCCCAAATTATAATTTCATTTTTTGACATCGATGCCAATATCAAAATGTATAAGTAGGATGAAAACACCTAAGGATTATCCAAAATGTCATCTGGATAGTGAAATAATCTTGAACTGGAATTATGATAAATATATTAATTCGTGATGTAATACCTGATGCCGGTATATGTACCTAATCCTTTATCTCTATATATTGCCTAAACGTAAAGGTCATAGTGGTATAAAGATGATATTCAATATTAACATGTGGTATAAGATCAAGATAAGGGTAAATGCCGACAGTATCTGTGTTTTCAATTATTATCTTACACAGACAAGTCCAGCAGGTATATTCTTATATCAAGAATACCCTGTTCTTGTTAGAAATCTATCTTGCCAGCTATTGAGCGCAAGCTACAGTATATAATTTGGTCCAAAACCACCTTGACCTACCAAACATTCATCGAAGGTTAACCGAGAAATTTGGCCAAAAGGTGTTCTGGCATAATATTGCGCTACCTGTATTTATAATATAAGTAATGTTAGTAGTATATAAATGTACAGTAGAAAGTTTACGAATCCTAAAACTAACATAAAATATCAGCCGAATCGACACTTCTGCCATCAGATATTAATGGTTACTATTAAAGTACATATCAAATTTCCCGCTCCGTTATATTTATTGATGGTAAAATAATGATTCACAGATTGCCTTATCGTTTATATTTCGTTCTTAAACACCGACTAAAGCAAGACCCAACACCATGCATTATAACTTAGAAATAAAGTTTACATTAATAAACACTTTGTCACAGAGGCAATTTTACGTGTAACTTACCTTCGAAAACAGGAGAGGTGTCCCGGTAAAAGTGGGAAAGAGGCTGAAACTTGGCACTAACCTCACTGACTGTTGACGCTGTTACTTTTTCCGTCACTCATTATCCCCGACCCATCTCTATAAAAGGTAAAACGATTGTTGTATGACACTTACCCTCTGCACGACTAGGGGCTGGTTCAGGTCCTTGCCACCCTGCAACCGGAATCCCCAGGGTGTTGCGAATGAGTCCCTGTACAGGCGCACCTGAAGCTTTGTGCCAGTCATTTTGTTTTACGCCATAATGCAGACGACACAAGTTAGCAGGAAAACAGATCTCGCTAGGATGGAAACGAGGCGCACGAGCGTTCGGTAAGAAGGAATTCTACCTATGTCAATCACTTGAAGGAAGAAGATGCGCGAAAGAGAAGTGGTGGATTCTGTCAGAAGGCACACAATCTATTTTCACTTTACGTGACGTGAGCACCGGTTGTCTCAAATATCATCCACCTTGAGATTAAGAGTCTGGCAAGGTAGAAGCCGGCAAGGCACATTGCCCAATTTAGAATATACGCGAAGTAAGCAGAATGAACATCGGAGCCTAGATATTATTTTGATATTCGCTTTAATCTCGACGGTGTCAGGGATTGTTTAGCATTTACCGGTGGTTATGTAATAATGACATAAACAGACGTTCTTCTTATAGCATGATGTTAAACATTTCTTATATGATGCTATACAATATAAATATACATGCATTATACAGGAACCATAATATTAAGTGTTTACTATATCACTTCTTATACACCACGTTATAAATAATAGACACATGTTTCTTTGGAAATTTGTTTAACAAATTTTTTTTTTTTATCATTTTTTTGTTACAGAACCTAGAGCAGTATAGGGAACTGTCGTGGAAGTTGTGCGGTGGTATTGTGTGTTTTGATATCAAAATGTCTCTTATTCAATGCACCGCCGTCTTTTAAAGGGGAATATTTTAATGAATAAAACTGGTTGTTACTGCGAGTAAGGTTATTAGGATTAGTAATATTGTCTTAAGGAACTATCACATGTAGGTTGTGTGTGTGTTTGTGGGGGGGGGGGGCTTGACTTTATTCAAAACTGAGACGCCAGGACAGTAACAGCTTCCTGCTACACTTTCGCTTGAATTGCTTTCCAGCTAATGATAATAATAGAATTTTGCAGGTTAATGTTGCGTTTAAATCACTTGTTGACAAATTATACAATCAGTATCGAAAAGTTGTGTTTGTCAGGTTACTCCGGTCCTATTAATCACCGACAAGGGCCGACAAGAGCGATTTCCAAAAGTGACCGACAAGGGCGATTTCCAAAAGTGACCGACAAGGAAAGTTGTGTTATAAATATGCATCTACACAGAATATCCAAAAATTAAAGGATTTCATAAAAAAAAAAAAAATGGAAAAATTATGTATAATTGAAATTTTACTAAACACCGTCACTAATAACATCCCACACGACATCATATTCAAAATTTACGATTTCATAAATCGTAAATGTTTTCATAAAAACATGAAAAAATTATGGATAATGGACATTTTAACAAACACGGTTTTGCTAATCACCGACCAGAACCGACATGAGCGTTTTTGTTCGTGAATATCACTTATGCATAAGTTGTCAATTGTTTATGAATCTGTTAAAATTTGGATATGGTGTGTAGAATATGCATATTAATCCTGTGGCTGAAGTGGTGGGGGTGGGGGAATCGCCACCCGAGCTGTGAATTTATGAGACCAAGATTTTCTAGACCAGTTTTTTCGCGTAGGGGTTTGTGAGGCGTTTTCGAGATATATGTGTGTGTAGGGAGAGGGCGTCCAATGTCTACAATTGGTGGGTGGGGGGTAGAATGTGAATATGTTGACAATGTATTTTTGGGGACATAAATCATTTTGTTCAAAATTGACCTTAAAAGTGGCTTCTTGTCAGCTTTTTCGTTTAGTAACAATTTTGTCATTCAAAATAATAGATTATAATGGTACTTTTCAAGAGATCTGGAAATCAAAAACACAGTAAATCACAGACGTGTTTAGATATTAGTTTATTCTTAGTCTTCATCAGAAGATTCAAAATCAAAGTTCATGATATCAGCGGGATAAATATCTTCTTGATGGCTGATTAACCCCACTCTTCCACACACGCACACCTGCATCCCCCCCACCTCACCTCCCCACAAATCAAAATAGTTGTCCAGGGATATCATATACACTTATTTAGAGATCATTTATGTCAACATAATCACATTTCCCCCCAATTGTAGACAATGCCCCGCCCCCCTTCTCGAAAAAACCCCCTCAAACACCTGGTCCCGAGTTCACAAAGCATTCTCCGACTTAAGTTGAGAACTTACTCAACTTTCAGTCACTGTTTATGAGAAATATCTTTGATCCGGAAACACAATAATTTGCACATAGTTTCTTATTGATGTGTTTGATACACTAAAACAACAAAAGGGATTCGGAATCTACACAAAAAACTGGTCTAGAAAAACTTGGTTTCACAAATTCACAGCTCGGCTGTCGACTCCCTCACTTCAGCCCCCAGACTATATCTATAACATATATTTCCTTGTCGGTCACTTTTTGTAATATGCTATTGACCAAAAAAACGCTCTTGGGGGCGAGCTGGAAATAAATGAAAATGGAGATTATTTGTAGACGACTGGCTCACAAATCCGCAGGTTCTGATCGAAGTAGTTCATCTGGAATTCTTCAGGACGGATGGCCTGGCAAGCAGCAGTGTTTATTCCTCGGATGGCACGTTGGCATACAGGTAAAGGAACTTGGCCAGTTAGTCTTCGTTTAAGAATACCCGGAAACGCCGTTGTCCGGCAACATTTTTCTCAAATAATGTCGTGGTTTCCCCATCTTAGTAATGCTGGACGAAGGGCTTGGAAAAACAGTTTCTATTCGTTCGGGTGGGACGAAAAACCAAGGTCTCGTGTACACGTTGGCGTGCACCTAAGAGAACTTTGTCAGTTTCAGTTTGATGAAGAATACGCAGAAGCGTAGTTGTTAGGGCGACATCTTTAAATAATGGCTTCCCGCTGTCCTTAAAATTCGGATACAGCAATGAATAAATATGGGTCTTGTCTTGTCTTCAATTTTGGAAGTTGACTTTTCATCGTCACATCAATATCGTCTTCACTATCACTGTCATTCTTAATCTCAGTGTCCTTTGATTTATTGGCATCTTCCATTAGTTAAGTGTTTCCCAGTCATCATTGAATTCTTCACTAACTAGTACGTCATGGTCCATCTCAAGATACTTATCCACTGTCATGAGTTCTTTAACACCCAGTCATTAACATCTGTCAAAATCCCACATTTCACTGAACACGTTTTTAAACATGGCGAAATAACGGCATCTAAAACATTAACGATTGTACAAATCGTGCTTTTTATAATTCCTTGAGTTTTGATGACATAGTGATGATATGGCATGCTGATGTGGATGTAAATGATGCCTTGGAAGTTACAATTCGACGAAGAGTAGTCGGAAAAAGCCGCTGTTCGGGCAAACTGTCCTTCATAGCACACTAGATTTCGTATACGCGTCTTCAATAGGCAATAGGTAAACTGGACCCAAGTTGAGTCCAACATGGCCGCCCCGCATATTAATAACTTAGGGTTAGGGTTAGGATAATAATAATTTTATTTGGACTGGACCCAAGTTGAGTCCAACATGGCCGCCCCGCATATTAATAACTTAGGGTTAGGGTTAGGATAATAATAATTTTATTTGGACTCAACCTGGATCCAGTTTACCGCTGACCGTCTTTGTTAGCCTTTTCATCGCCATCGCCCACCTCCAGTATTCAGGGGAGGGTAATCTTGTCTTTCACTTACCACCGAAGTCTGATTTGCAGCAGCCTTTACATTTTGGATTGATGGAAATATTATATTATGCTGATCTTTTGTTTTAAAAAAACTTATACAACTTGCTTCGGATATTCATCGAAACATATTGGAACGCCAACACCTACAATAATTGGATGGGTTTTCCTTGATTTTAAGAAAAGAGTATTATCAATGTGATGAAACGAATGTTGAGGTCAACAGTTTTATTTTTGTATAATCACAATTTTATAGATATGTTTAAATCTACCAGTGTAGAATGGAGTTGCCTCCCTGTAAACCCAACTTGATAAGACTGAATTATTTCTGTTTTCTGCCATATTAAATACGTCAGAAGGATTTCCAAAATTCTGAAATTTAATTATTAGCTTTGAAATAAATGGTATGCCTTAATGTGAACAGGCCAGTTGGATTGATTCGTCCATATCCTGTTCGGATTTCCCTTTTGGCATATGAGTAAATTTCATACTACTACGATTTCTTTTGTCTGCGATATCACTTTGGTGGAAACAGACGTTAAATAAAGCTATTCCACACACATACTACGATTTCATTAAATTGCCAATATTTCAAAGAATTATTTATTCTAGAAATGACTACATTAACACTGTTGTACGTGTTATGACCAGTCTTACACAATGACCCAGCGTTGTAGAATCTACAGGTTTCCTAACAACGTAACATCATGAAGGATGGTGCGATGGTTAGCAGCGCCCTTGTCTAGTGAAAATGTCAGAAATATTTATTTACATCAGTACACATGTTACATATCTACTCGGGCAATAAGTAAGCTAATCCATGGCTTTTGTCATGTTTACGTTTGATTTGTTGATTTGAGCCTTCTAATTCATCAGTTTAGTCTTTAAAGGTGTTGATCGTCAACTGAGGAATTTTGAATCCCTTGCAAACTAAAGAATAGTTGGAGGGAATATCAATACCAAAATGGTTCCATTCCGTTAAATATTTATAAGGATATGTCGAACTGGATATTTGAAACATTCGGCATCTTCTGCATGCGATATAAACAAGCAAGCATCGCCTGTAAGTGTTGGGAAAAGTCTTTTGATATTTTGAATAATCAATTTGAGTAAAAATGAGATATTGTCCGATAAATGCAAACGGTGATAAGCGGTCTTATGCGGTGATGATAGTCCCAGACTAATATCCTAGTGCTCAATCATAGAATTTTTCGAAGAACTTTTCGTCAGTGACTAATAAATATTCTGCCAGATTTATTGTCTAATGTGGATGTAATAACCAGCTATTTATTGTTTCCGTGTTCTGGAAAACACAAGAACGAATATATCCAATAGAATGGTACATGTGCTCCACCTTAGATGCATCTGTTCGTAATACAGTTAAAGGTAGGACCTTGATCGTTTGGCGTCTGCTTCAACAAAAGTGACATCGCAGACAATCAGCTAACGGTTTTATGGGGTGCTTTATACACTAGCCAGAATACAGGGTTTCCATAATATTATTAACGGATTATAGAGCGTCTGTTTATTATCAATTCAAGGGTTCATTATTGCAGACTGTGTTTAAGTTTTTTAAAGAAAGGTGGATGTTTTTAATTCGATTTCAGCATTTAACTGTAAAATACAAACAGATGGAGTTTAATCATACTATATTATGGCATCTACATACTTATTAAAATGTTACAAACCTCCACATGTCTTAAATACAGCGTTTGATAACTCATAACTTAACGTTTATAGAGATTTAAACAATGGACATTATTCAAGAATATTCCTATAGCTAAATACCGGAACTTAAATTGATATACATATTCTCCACTTAGTATGATTACTGATTAATGACAGCAAATTATTCTAGCTTGAATAGTCTGATCGCCGTTTTAATAAATAAACATGAAGATATCTAGCTGATCTAACGGAAAATAAATTTGTATGCATTTGATCTACAGATTTTTTTTCCAATGCTAACAATTTCAAAGTTCTAATATGAGATTGAAACGTATATCTAGGTTTACAACCATACATAACAATAGTGATGAGTAATTTGTTGATCAATAAACATATGGTAAACATACTTACAGACAACATCTATCCTACATAGTTAACCTTCTAACATTATATATAGTATACAGAGTATAATAACCTAGATAATCATCATCATTAATAACATTAGTTGTATGACTTGTAAAATGCGTTAGTATACACTGTGCAAATTAAAATGTTATTAATTTCCCAAAGGCGGAAGTTGGCGGGGAAGGGTTTGGTAGTTTGGTGTACATTATACAAAAAACAACTGCATCCGATTATTTGCTGTAGGTTACTAATACAAAAGCACAACAAAATTATCGACTGTGTGTTAAATAGACAGCACCCACCAAAATATAGAACAAGATAATAACAAAACAAACATGGGCCAAACAAGCAACACAGGCATTGTAATACCTAGCCCTATAGATGTATGTACTCGGAGACAATATGCGAGGTGGACGGGACCAAAGGGGAAGCCTGCAGAGCTAGGGCTGGCTCCCATAGCTTTTTGTTTACCAATCACCAAACCTCTCAAAAAAAAAGTCTTATCAAGCACACGGTCGGGCTCACGCCACTTCCTCGATGCCTTCGAACCAAGTGAAGACTAGCGATTAGAAGTACGGTAACTTTTCAGGGTCAAGGGTGGATAATTCGATGATCAGTGAAACTACCATTCATCTTACCTGGCAATGAAATAAAAGTAAATCAGTTCAATAGAAATATATAAATATTGAAAATATTTATCATTCATTTGATGCTTATTAATGCTAAAGATTATTTGATAATTCTAGTGAGAAGAGGTCGAGTCGAATAACTTTGGCACGTCGTTAAGGTCAGTAGGTAGATATAAATTACACACGTTAAATCCATTTACTCAAGCCAATTGAAAATTCATTGAGTAATTTGGGTAAAATTTCCTTTTTTAAACACGTGGATGTAAACTAAATAAATAATAAAGCACACCCACATTCTTGATGGCATGTTTCCTTTAAGGTTATGTCAGTGCAAAGGTCTTCTGGCTAATATACGATACTAATAATTTACATGTTTTTCTTTTGATTTAAGAAAAAGGTGATTGATGAAGACGTTAAAGTTCATTTAAGTTTATCGTCTGCGACCAACAGTCAGTGAAATTTCTAAAAAAAAAATTTTAAAATTACATGTACATAACAAAGATATTAGGGAATGCACCAAAGAGAGATTGTGTACAACGGTTCACTTTCCCTAAGGAATTTCTCGTAATTATGATTTCGAATAATTAAACGTTAAAAAATAAATTAGCGAGGATTCAGAAATAGAAATATTAAATTTATTATTTGAAATCTATAACAAATGAAAAGGAAGGGCATAATTGATTCCCCTTGCGGTCGCCAAAATGGAGGAAACAGTTCTATAATTATGTTTTAACTACATAGAAAACATTATAATTGCATGAGGATACATGATTACCTCAATTTTAAACATACTTTGTTTGCAAGACATGTCAGTCAGTCGATCTGCTTGAAAATATAATTTAATGTAGCTATAAATGTCTGTTTATTCCCGAATTAGCCCAAATTATCTTTAATTATTCGTTTTAATATACGAATAAAGATACAGTTTATGCAGGGATGATGTAAGCATCTGAAAGTCAAAAACAATATCTTTGTGCACAAACTTTTATCACACGCCTAAATTATTTGACCTCGTGACCTCAATCAATTTGTCAATCACTGCTAAGAGACACACCTAATAACCGGTATACATGTAAGTAGCGTGTGAGATGTTTGCTTCCGAAAGTAAAGCCAGTTTTAATTTAGTAACTTAACACTATGGATAGGCAAATATTGCTTGAAGGGACACATCCCTGGAAAAAATGAATCGGTTCTCTAATTGTTAAGACATAGCTCAATTATAGAGAATAGTTATTTCTTTTACGTGACAGTATGCTAGAATCGGGTCACCGCTAGATTGTATCCTTTAACCTCAGAGCACCAACCTATTGTTTCTCATGCCTGTATTTTGTACAATGAAGTTAAAACTGAAGGAAACACTTGAAAAGATTACCAATGGGGTGAGTTTAATAGCTTACAAGAGTTTTCTTAGTTACATCCATACTCTATTATACTTATTAGCTATAATATAGTTATTCAATTTTGGATTTGCTATCTTGAATTATGCGTTATGCCCGCCTTGTTCTATTTATTATCACGACAAATATTGAAGTTATGTAATATATAGGCTCATTATTCGCGTGATGTTTACATTATTTCTCAAACTTGATATATGTTTTACTATAAACATTTTAAGATGACAGGTCGTTTCATCAGATATAAAATCCTAAATTTTCATTCACCAATTTCTAATACATAATTGTCCCTTACATATTAATTTTATATTTGAAATATAGCGGTCATCAGGTTTAATATTTTGTAGTAAATATAGACTTGGAACTAAACTCTATATATTATTATGGTCCTTTTCCTTTAATATGCAAAATGTCATTAAATCGACCCCACTTCAATTTTAAAATTATTTTCCGGCTCACTTTCCACAGTAGCTAGACAAGATAACGGTAAATAGATATTTCTATACATGTGTACATTCTTTAGCTAGTATTACTATCTACCTAAATGTCTATCTAACCGTTCGGGATATTATGACCCCCACGCACGCCACGGCACACGGTATGTAAAAGCTTTGGCAGAAGGTAAGACAGTTACTATGGTAACGAGAACCTCTAAATTTAGACAGAAGATCATCTTCATTCTAACCCTAAAGCAAAACGTCTTCCATATTTTATTTGTAGGGGACGGACGCTACGCAGGGGCAACGTTCGACGATGGAGACCCTTTGGTTACAGCGGTCCTCCAGCGACATACCCTGGGGTTTTCGACTTCAGGGGGGCCGGGAATATGGAACCATTCTACAAGTTCAAAGGGTAAGAAACTTTGATATTTTCCTCTTAGAGATTCTAGGCAAGTCTCAAATTCATATCAGGTATCAAGTAATGTCTATTTTTATAATGTCGGTAGATTTTCGTTTATTGTGATTCCAGAACGAATATTTTTGGTATATTTTTTTATTTATATAACCTACCTTTAGTTGATTAGCTGTGGATATATCGAAATATATTCGTTCTTTCCATAGACTGTATTTGTGTTAATTGTTTTAACATGGTTAAGAATGAACTTTCTGTACTGTCAAAAAAGTAATAATCAAAATTTAAAAAAAACCCATGGGTTATACATGTAGTGCATGTTGACTTGAGAAAATCTATATTTGGCTTATATATAGCCGACGTTATATATTATTTATCTATTATAAAGATATTTTCCATATCACATTACGTATGTAGCTAATAATACATATATATAAACCCCAAATACTGAACAGAAAGCAGTAAACACCTTTTATGTAAAACAGAGTATATTTACCTTCGATATACATAAATATCAAAAAAACGTTATGTGGATCTTTGTTTGGTACACATGATAAATGAGTATTAATCAAAAGAAAGTTGAACGACTCCTCGAAACGTCGCCTAAATATATTAGTATCTGTTTTCCATATGTATGTGTTTTAGTTTACAACAGATAGTGGTTAACACTATTATTTAAACAACGTGACTTTGACAATAATAAACGTTCACTTTATTAAAGCACCATATAATTTACATCTTAATCAAAATATTCGTATTTGTTGTTTATTGATAGCAGGGCATGGTGCTCTTTTGTAGAATTTAAAACCACCCTGAAATTTTATATTTCTGTCTAAAATACAGACTACAAAGCATCCATTGTTTATTGAACCAAATATGATATGTTTTGTCTAAAATGTAAAGTTCGTATTACATAGAGGTATCAGTAATCTATATGTGTATTTAAAATGATTTATTGTAGATCTAGACTTTTGGTACCATTCCTGTCTTTGTCTTCAGGTACCGTTATTATTATAAAAGATGTGGTACCACCCTTGGATCATGTAGATAAAACACGTGATGCTTGTTTTACTTACATTTTTCTGTTGTTTTATCATGTCTTTGTTTATTAACGTAAATTAATCTGGAACTTTGAGTGACGGATTTTGTGAGGATACGAAGTGAAATCCCTAAACTTTGAATTTCTTATCAAACATTGTGTCACGAGTTATACAAGTTGGTCTTTAAGAACATTAAAATTTAATATGTGTTCCTAGCTACAGTGTGAATTATGTACATTGGCAAACATACATGCGCTTTAGTGTGCATGTTACGTTGTGAAAATGCGGGAAAATTAATTACCAGTAACAAAATATATTCCTGTGTCGACATACCCATTCTCATAATACATCATATATACCCATAATGCATTATCACACCTTGTGTTATCAGCAAGTGCATAATGTAACCAGCATCGAAAACATACGTAACAAATAATGAGGGTAACATAACAACAATATTTGCGTCAATCTGAAAAAAAAATCAGATGTCAGTTCGTTTCGTTTTATTTTTGGTGTGACGAAACGAAACTGAAATAGCATTCTAACTTTTTAACTTTTATCTCATTGACACACGACACGAAAAGAAAGACACGTCTTTGAAACGGTTGATCACAAATTGTATCCTCTTTGATGTAACCATTGTGAGATGCATAACCGTGCACAATTAAATCAATTATAAGGAGACATGTTTGTAAGACCAGTCTGCAGAGAGGGTCTATCTGCATCAGTAATAAATCGCCAGACTGTAATATATTTAGACAGATTAGACAACCAAAGTAATTGATTAAAGAGATAAACTCGAGCCTGAAATTATAACAGCATAGGTAGGCTTCAAGGTCAGCTTGACCTTTCAGCAATGATTCATTTTACGCTTCCGTTCTTCCATTAATTTCATTACATGTCAGCTGTTTCGGTTCGTCGGCCATCTTTATAAACAGTTTCTATATTATCTTTCACTTTAAAAAGTATATATACTACGATTGCCTTGAGCTATACAAAATAGAGAACGTTGTCAGTAATATAATTCATTTTAATTGTTTCTTTGATATGTTTCAAATGACATCCTAGTGCACATGTCCATTACCTTTACCCAGAAAGCCTTGTTTCTCGTTTTGATCTAAATTTTACAAAAACTTGCATATAGTTGTTTTATTTAATTGACTTACTTTATCAGTTATCTGAAGTCTATTACCTATTTTGATATGAGATGCTATTGGCATAATTATTATGATCACCTATAGATCACCTTTTTACCCCAACATTACTTATCTGTATAACTATATGGGTTATAATAGATATCCGTGACTCATGTATTTTACTTGCAGTATACAGGTTCATAGAAACAAGGTGAACTCAGTATGGAACAAATGGAAACACCTTTCGTATGTACATCTGGGAAACAAATAATATTCTTACTCGCTGACTGATATTAATTCCGAAATCTTTTGTAAAACAAATATTCCAGTAAGTTTTCATATATATAATTCTTCGTTTTTGGATTTCATCAAGGTATTTCTGGGACATTGCCCTAACTTTCATAGATCGTACGATTATACAAAAATTGTATTCTTACAAGCATCCACACAGAAACAGCAGTCTACACAAACTTAATATCTGGAAATATTATATATAGCTTTACAGTATGAAAATAATACAGTTTACATCATATGCACCTGTAACATCAGCACTTTATATATCTATGTTGTATCTATTTACAGGTATGTGAATTTTATACTCGTATCACCTGATTTCTATTTAAAGTAATGCGTTTTAAATTATAAAATATATTGCACCCTGAATTAGCCAGTCCAGGCAATATTTGTGCTCTTCAGATGTTATATAACATTTTGAATGGTTAACCAACCCTAACAAAAAGTCGCCTTTGTTTATCACGAAATACCCAGTCAGTGCAGAAACGCAGGACGTTAAGCTCCATTTCATTTATATATAAGAGATCAAGAGAGGTCATTAATAATGGAAAACTCGAAAGTAATAAAAACATGTAATGTTAATATATATATATGTAACGTAGACGTATAATATTGTTTATATCTACACGTAGTACTTATTCCATATATACAATAACGGAACGACCTGACATTATGGTAAAATAAACTTGCTCCGGCGAGTAAAATAATCATAAAGAGCGTGGAACGTCTTGCGGGCATTGCCACGCATTGGACACATCCATAATGTAAAGATCTCCTCCTTTAGCGAAAATAAAGATAGCTATACTTCACATTTGTAAAAAAATATAGCCCCAATTATGCAAATGTAGTTAATGACAGTTTTATACGTTGAAGTAATTAATATATTTTCACAATCAGTCTCTATTCCCAACTGCTACTGGCATAATGCTAAAGCGACATTCTTGCGGTTTTTCTCATGGTGGGGCTCATGAAATATTTTAGTGGCGCAGGGTTTTTTCATAGAAATAAATTAAAAGCTGGTTTGATCAAAAACAAATTGCAGCCAACATCAGTGACAAAGCTCACAATAAAGTATGTAACAAATGAATAAAACTTTATACTAAATTTGTAAGATCATGGTGGGGTACGCGTATTTAGAGAAATCGAAGTGGTATGTGGGTCGAAAAGGGGGAGAAACACATACAAGAACATACGGTTTATCTAGAAAGTTTTAAAATTCCTGAACCTGACCTTTTTCTTACCCGAGTATATTTAATTAAAAGTGTAGAGTATATGATATGAACATAAATCACTAAGAGTGTAGAGAGTTCAGATTAAGATAATTCGAGGAGTTATATTAAAAAGTGAGAGTTAAGAGAAACCTGATATGTTGTAGATAGTAGAAATAGAAAGATGCATTAACACCGGTAGCCAAAAATAACCTCAACCACTACCAACCTATATACCGTTTGACAACATATTAAAACATAATTATTACACGTGAATCTGTATTAATGTTAGAAATAGCTAACATAATGTTGGCTTTGGATTGAAATATTAGAACATGATTTATAGGAACGTATGTATAAACTGTGTAAGTGCCAAGACTGGTGTTATATTTTGAGATAAACCAGCTATATCCCTGCAAACTTATTATATATAGACTGACAAGCAAGTTTTTACAACAATTTTATAATAACCAATGACCCCTGACCACATTTGGACGAGCATATTATATAGACAGCTATTAAATTTTAGCACCTGGACAAAACGAACCGAATTACTCTGAGATATATAATAGACAAATATTTTCTTAAGATTTATAGTTTAAAATATTATTCAAATTGAAGTTACAGTTTATGGTCAAGAAGAGAGTTACTGTTTATGTTTAGAGGTTGAGTAAGTTAGTATGGCGCTGGCTCACTAACCAGTAGATCTCGGGTTCATTCTCGGTGTTGACTGAGAAAGTTCTCCGGAAATTTTCAGTCGGGTTTCCCCCTTAACAGTGGTGCAGGACGGATGGTGAAAAAATCGAGATCCATGTACGTAAAAGATTCCTTGGGAGTTCGAATGCGGCAAAAAATAGGCGGAAACCCCGCTGTCCGGGCAAAATGTCCCAATTGGTGTAAGCCCGTCTTTATTAACCCGGTTGGTGCAGAACAATACGACGTTAAACCCCATTTCTGTCCAGTTATATCTGTTTACCACATGAATAGAATTCCAACCATGGAGTATTTGTAAATATATACCGTTATTATGATTGATACCATAGTCTATGTGTATATGTAATTACTGATTGATATCACAGATAACGTACACTCTAGGTGCAGATTCCTGTACACAGACTGAAATTAGATTTTGGTGAGATTAAAGGCCATTACTGAATACTCAACGTCACTTTCGTTTACCGCAGGAAAAATAATTCCTTAAACCGCCTACTATTCTAGGAGTTCCGATTATCTCCAGGAACCATCTGCCATCATAATCTATAAAGGCGCTCACATACTCCACTGCGTAGAAAGTTGGCTGTTTATTTTCTTAATGCTATTGA